GGATGCTGAAAAGCGAATCTTGTTTATTTAAAGGGAACACAAACTATCGGAATTACATACTGCTGCCTGCTGCTCACACTGTAAACCCTGTATCGCTAGCAAAGTCTTTCTTGATTGTACAAAATTTGGTCATTTTTCCTTTTCAACGTTTATCCACAACTGGAGAGGGGGAACAAAATGGTCTTATTTTTTGCCTGCCACTCCTCTTGACTTGATTTTTGTTCTGGTGGCATTAAAAGTTCATGTACCGAATAGCTTTTTAATGAGCAAGGGAGGCAGGAAGGGTAGGCAGACAGTTGGAGGATGAATGGTTGTTTTGGAATGGGCTTTTCTGGTTTTTGGGTTTTTTTTTCAAAAAAAGAGTTTACAGCATCTTCCCAAGAATCTCAGGTCTGCCTCTGTCCACAAGTCTAGAAACGTTTCTCGGCTGACTGCCCTGCTATGAGACCCCTGGGATCTGTGCTCCCACCTGCATCCTCGCAGGAAATGCAAGGGCTCATGCGCTTCATGGGTTCTGTCCTGAGTGCTGGTACGGCTCAGGCTTGAAGAAGTCATTTGTTCTCACTCAAACTGTGGTGTGGCACCTGCATTTTGATTCTCCTTTTAGATACTAAAAGGAGATACAGATATATATCTACATATATCTACATATAGATTTAGATATATCGTTAAGACGAGGTAAACACGTTGGGGACCGAGGCTCACTGTGTCAGCCTGTGCACAAACATACAAGCAGCCTGATAAATCTGGGACCTTAAAGAAAAACAAACAAATCCTGTCTTTCCCTTCTGCCTCCAGAGCTCCCCGTTGCAGTAGCACAGGAAGGAACTGCAGATTGCAGATACTGATTGCACAGTCACTTAAAGTGCAGTTTGCTAAGAAGCAGCTTAAAATAATCTCTTCTTGGTCAGGTTATTTTTTCACCAAGTCCACTTCCCATCATTGCAGAGCAGTTATTTCTGTAATCTTACAGCTACAAGCGTTTTTAGTAAAACCTTTCATTGTACAAAAGTACAGTAGTATATGCTTTATGTCCTTCAGGGAAAGCTTGCATGGGCTAGTGGTTGCTCAGGGTTTTTCTTTAGGCCTTGATTTTTTTTCATGTGGTGCTTTTGCTGAATTGTGCAAGCAGGGTAGGTGTTCCTGTAACAGGGACATGAATTAAATCTCTCCTATATTTCAAATGAATCATGCAAGTCAGTGCACAAGAAAAATAAGGATGAAAATAAAATCTGTGACACCTTCCAGTAATATAGCACTTAGTTTGCCAGTAATCACATGGTAATCACCTCTGTGTGTGTGAGCGTGTAAAAAAATTAACAGTCCACAGTAACTCATGGCAAGCTCCATATCTTATCATCTTGTCATCCAGTGATACATTCATGGTTTATTAATAAAAATAAAAAACTAGGTCAAAGATGGAACAGTAAGAGTTCAGGTCACTGCTAAATAAATACACATCCATGTAGCAGATGCTGTACAGTTCTGTCTGTTATTTTGCCCCTGGCCACAGCACAGTTAAGAAACAGATAACTGCCAAGTATTTGCTGGGTGATTTTCTTATGAGACTTTCATATTTTCACAGGAAATGGCAAGACCTGTTGCTGTTTTGTCATCTTCAGAGTATGGGAGACGCATAAATAAGCCCATAGAGCAGCCAACCAGAGATCATGCAAGGATTAATCACGTGCAGGCAGAATTCTACAGGAAAAACGGCATCATCTGCTTATTGGAAAAACCTTCTCCAAGACTGGATCCACAATAAATCTCTTGTATCTGTCATTGCCAGCAACATTTATGTGGAAAAAAAACCCCGCCTTGCATCAAAAAGCTATATGGTGCTTTTGTCTTTTCCTCTACATTTTAGTTAATAAGAATGATTTGGATTAAAAATAGGATGAAATAGCAGCTGTATTTTTCCTCATGCTAATTCAAACGCATGTCTTCTTATCGTCTCACAAAAATCTCATGAAGAGCAGCATCAGCAAGAGCTGTACGTTTTTGACAGCAATACTGGAAGGGAGACCTGTTGGGTCAACAGCTGTCTCTCTGCAGTTTTAGGCAGTGCTTCTACATAACTTTGCACAGATTTAATATTTAAGCAAGCTTGCTCCTCAAGGTATCAGTGGTCACTGACTTCTTAATCCTTACTGTGTGGCTACAGAATTTCGAGGTGTCATTTTGTCTGCACAACAGCCGGAACAGAGATTCAACCCAGATTTTCCAAAATGGATGAGCTTACCCATAAGCGGGGAAGTAAAGAAATTATCTGACTTCCAGAAGTGCTTAGCAGTTTCAGCAGACTTCAAGTGGAAGTCAAGTTAAAGGGAACTTCTGAGTACTTAGCATTTAAATAAACAAAACCTGGGTTTAGCTGATTTGAGACATCCATTTCACTGGCTTTCACTATAGGAATGGTGCCCGAGGGACTGATCTGTTCAAGAGTATCATGAGAAAATTCATCTTTGGTTCTGTATCGAGTGCTGAGAAAAAGAGAAAAAAAAAAGTAATAATAGCAGAACAAGCACTGAACAGTTTGGTAGAAAGGATGGAAAAAACCACAAAGATTTGAGCAGTAGTTGTTTAAAAAGCGCATTTAGAATAAATGTCTAAACCTGCTTAAACATTTAGTGCCTTGTATTCTTCAGTACTGAAGTTTTAAGGCAATTTCAAGAGAAGGAATATCTCCTGCAGGGTCTGCATCAGTTTGGTTCTCAAGAGCCATTGATCCTGCTGCTGTTTAAAGCTGAGGCGGGACTGTTTAGAAAGGAACACCAGCCAGACTGATCCCACCAGAACAGGGACTGGAGGTGTACAGCTTTGACTGACACTGGAGTTCTGTCAGGTACTTACACATAGGAAACCTATATCATTTGTGATCACATCGTGAGTCTCCTAGTAAAAAATTATAACAACAAAGAACTTCTTCACCTGGAGCCAAGATAAGCAGTAACTTAGGCACTCAATAGCACTTGTTTGGCATGATGTGAGAAGCAGAGCACACAGAGCAGCCCCTGGTGAGAGGTGTTTGTTACTTTCATTATTCATGACCTGCAAGTTCGTCTATATTCACTGAGCTAGAACAAAAGAACAAAAGGGCAGTAACTGCTGCGTTCCTTTTCAGCAATAAACACTTCCTTAAACACATTCAGCAGCATTAAATGAAAGGATTCACAGTAAGAACAAAGTGAGAAGGAAATGTTTTCCATCAATACCAGAATGCTTTTTCAAAAATCAGTATCAGATGTATAGCAGTCAAGAATGAGACGTATTCTAGGCAGGTTGTTTTAATTTTGGGACAGTTAGTACAAATTGCTTCTTTTAAGTAGTCTTACTATATTTACAAACCATCTGTGTTTGAAAAAAAACCCTAAACCTACTGGAAATCGAATTTGTTTGAGAACACCACCACCTTCTGGCCTGTGTGAGAAATAGGCATCACCAGCTCACTTCCACCATGGAGAAAGTCCTAAGTCGTAAAAACACCAGTATGAGTTTTCTTATCTCATTTCTTTGCTTATGTCACCCCCTTCTTTTTCAGTCCCTTCACACTTTTGAAGACCTTTCACAGGTTGTTCCTTCTACTACTTGTTTCTCATTCAGTTCTCAGTGGTCGACTTCTCCTTTCAGTGCTCAGTGTCAAAAGAATACCTGGACAATTTCTCTGTTAGGGAGAAATTCCTTATAAATGTCTACAAAGATATTTCAGTCGTTCTCCTTCAATTTCTCTTTTGCTAGGATGACAACTGTTAGTTTACCCATGTGCTGTAAGCTTCCTATTATGCTGCTGGACAGTATCTCATTACCTGTTGGTGCTCCCTCAGCACCTGTGTCAGTGCTGACGTACTGCTGTAAGTAAGGATTTTATGGATGCAACAAATTAATATGAACAGAATGCACAGAATGACACAAGTAAATCATATTCTGGATCTTGATTTCGCATCCAAAAATCCCCAGGGATTGTTGGGACAATTCACAGACACAACTCACAAATTATTAACAGTAGCCTTGGAAGGAAAAGATGGCCACATTCTGTACCTACTGGTGAAATACACAGAACTTCAAGTTTCACCTTTTTTGTATCAAATCATAACAAATAAAATCAAACTAGGTGATGGCTTGGAATTCTGCTTTGCTACTCATAAATAATAATCCCACACAGGACAGGATGCACAAGCTAACCTGATGAACTGCCGTGTAAAATGCATTTTCAAGTATGCATTATGTGATCAGAACTCAGGCTATGTTACTTTTCCTTCGTTCATCTGGAAAGCAACACGCTGACCTGAGTTAAGGCACGCTTGTTCTGGCTGAAGTGGCTACTGGTTCCAGTTCTCAGTTCAACCTTTCTGCCAGAATTTATACTCGTACATAAAAAAAGGACTGCACAGGAGAGAGACCTTCTGAGCTTCTGTGTGATGAGTTTTGAGTTTAGGCCTGAATGGCAGGCTGTGCACAGAAGGAACGCCGGAGCACATACACGACCTCATTTAGACATTTTAGCTAAAACCCACCAAAGACAAAACCACAAATAGTGCACACCCAAAACATCAGGTGGCCCCCCAGAGACAGCTGTGCAAGTCCACTATCCCATGGCAGCTGTTCTTTTACAAAGTAAAGTGGATCTTTTTAATGAAAACACTCTTTTTTTTCTAAGGCATTGCTATTTAGGGAACAGCACTCTACATCTCTTAAGCATGTGCAACAAGCCAATACTGCTTGGGCAACCACCGCAAATTTTAGTTTTATGAAACACTTGGGAAATCACACAAACAGCTATGAGTAAATTGCACAATTTCTTTTTATACTGTCAAGAAAAGCCCTGATTGGCAGGTAGCATGGCACATTCTGTACGTTCAACACCAGCCAGTATCCTTGAATAGTCACATCTGTCCATTTGCAGTTGTGAGTTAGAACCAGTGAAAATATAAAGGAAACACAGCACTGACTGTCTGGCACTTATATCTGTTAACTTAAAATAAATATTGACACAAAACTTACAAAAATATGTTGTTCTTTATTACTCTTTACATGTCAATTGTTTCAAATATTGGAAGGCCTCACATTCAGAAGCTCAAATCATTTTAGGTCGAGTCACTTAGAAAACAGAATTTTTCTTCCATGCACAATATTTACACTTTATAGTACAGGAGGTCAACCTCTGATTTAGCATTATTCTCCAGTGTCAGGAGCTGAGTCCATATGTATGAGGAAAGATTTTTTTGTGTAGATATTCTGCCATTTTCCTGCAATTATGTAGACTCTCAATCTCAAAAAATGGAATCTGGAAACAAAACAAAAAAGTTTGCTGGAAATACCTTTTAATAAACAACTGAGTAAGACTGATGTTCATTAAGCAGATATAAAATTACACATCAAAGATTTGTCTGTTTTAAAATTAAATATTTAATCTTCAGCGTATTATTGATCTGTAAATGACTTGAAGAGGGATTATTGTATAACAAAGAGTGACATTCATTACAGTTTAAACTAAGTTAAATATAATGGAGTAGGCTTATATGAAACATGGTTATAAATGGAAAAGAGAACCTCAAAAATCTAAAAGTAACTGTTTTGGTCCAAACTATGTTGAGAGATAAAAACAACCCTATTAATTCAACAGGCAAAATAAAGGATATACTCTGTTGTGAAAATATTATTTACAATACAAAGCAGTTGCTTTTTTTTTAACCCCTCTTTTTAAACCCCAAATTCAGGCATTTTTAAAAAAGTATTTAATTAAAAATCCCAATTCTACTGAACTCTTAGAGAACATTTTCCTTTAAGACAAGATCTGAACCTTAATCACTGCAGAGGAGTATTCTTCCAAGCAGCCATTATTTGGCGGGAAAAACAGGCAGAATACACTCATTGATCCAAGAACAAAAACACAGTTTCTTTAACACCCTCAAAAAGGCAAAAGCTAGGCAGATAGAACACAATATATAAAGAACAAGACTATATCTGCCTTGGGAAGTAATTCCAACTACAGTTTTAAGCATTATAAAATAATAATTTCTCACTTGTTTTGTTAGCCAGACCAAAAGCAAACCACTGTCTTTGGACTTTACCTGCACGACTTCATAACCAAGTAAGTGAAGATGTCTCTGTTTAATAGCTTCTTCTCCCAACAGATTGCGGCTGTTAACGCAAAATCTATTTCGACCATCAACACAGAGGGCAATTCTAAAAACAAGCACAAGTGTAGTATAAAGAAAAAATAAAAATCAGTTATTTTAATCACCACAACTACTGCAGTTCCGAAGAAGCATGAGACAATACCTCCTCTCCTACTCCCTAACACCTCCTAGAATTAGACGTCGTAGGATGGGAATTACCTAGTTCAGGACAATTTGCAGCACTCAATTTAAGGGTGGGAGGGCGGAAGCCTGAAGCTTAGTGAAACTGATCCGAAAAGCTTATTTATATGCTCTGAACAAGAATTCCCGTACTAGTTAATAAAAGCTTGGTATTTTTAATGCTACTGTTGGCAAGATGTTTTGAATTCTTCTAGAAGGGAAAACATACAAAGTACTTGTCTCAGCATGAAAATATTTCAGCAGCTAAATTTGTTCAACTTATTAATGTATCTGTTAAATCTGTTAGAGTTCAAGTTAAAGTTAAGTTTAAGCTAAATCTGTTTAAGTTAAACCTGTATGTATGGTTTGCAGCATCATGGATTATAACTATATTTTTTTCTCCTTGGTGATAAAAATCATGACAACTTAAAGCAAAATTTGTATATCCACTGTAAAAAAAAGTTGCTTAAATTTTCAGTATGTTAAGTGTATTGTGACTTTATTTACACATGAAAGCTGTAATTTAAAAAAAAAAAAAAAAGTCCATTCTTAAACATTTAAGCATGGGATTTTTGAAAGAACCTGCATCAGTCAGCGAGTCTTGTGAAGGTTAAGCTGGAGAAAACATAACCTTTTCAAAGACTTGCTTTATCTAGCAGGTTGCTTAACTTTGTATCCAAGGTTTCTCAACATAATCCTTGTTTAACATATTTTTTAAACACCTATGCATTTTTTGATAAAAACCAGCATCTGTAGCAAATATCCTCATTACACAGGATTCCTTACAGAAGCAGATTTGTGAACTCAAACTGGCTTAAACTATGTTAAATCTATGCAGACACGCTCAATTAGAATTAATTTGGTTTTAATTTGAAAATGAATTACAGAAGATCAAAATACATTAATGTAAGCCAAGTCAGGATCACTTCAATCGTGACTATCACTAGCTAAAGAGACTGTCTGACACTGTCAGGAGTCAGGAGGCAAAACAATGAGGAAAAAGTACAGATCGTTAATTTTGCCAACTTTGTCCTTTTGCCAGTGGTTTCAGTGTGAAACCTGCAATTTGTTAAGGTCAATGACAAAACTCCAATTAGCTTAAATTTGGCCAGGGTTTCACCCTGGATGCTCTTTGTCAGTATTAACCAACGTCGTATCAGTGGTTTCTTTTATTCTCTTACCGTCTGTGCACCTCTTCACATTGGGCAGCAGGCAATACAAAACCTTCTTCATCTAATTTAATCTCAATATCTAGTATAAATGAAAAGAGAAGTGACATTAAAACTCATTCATATAACAAACTGTTTACTGTAATTCTCATCCTCTTCCAGTTCATTGTTTTGTAAAATAGCTAAAATACTATGGCAATACTTTTTTCTGAATCACAGAGCCTAGCGAAAGATGTGTATAGACTGCTTAACACAAATGAGTGATAATTAGTAACACTTCAGCCTTTCATAATGCTAACAGCAAAGTAGTATTTCAAGTCCACTAAAACCATAATAATAATGTAGTTAAATGGCATTTTTCTGGGCTGGCTAGGGCCTCTGGCATTTTGAGGGCTTTGGGGAGATTCTCTCTCTCTCTCTGCCCCTCTCCTTTATTTTTTTCTCACCAATTCCCTAGTTTTATAGATTACGTCAATTTGCAAACAGACCTTTGGACCTAAACCCTGCCAACTTCAACCCCATGTGGAAGCTGAAACTCAGAATAATTCTGAAATCATCTCTCTCTTGATTTTTTTTTTTAAATCCCTCTGATTTCCATGGGGTCCAAAAGACGTTTCCCTCAACACCTTATTTATCATTCGCCCTTCCTGGGGACACGTATTTCCTCACCATTACCTTCTCTCAGTTTCCTTTCCTGGCACATGAAACAGTCTGGTTTTCTCACTCCTCTCTTTCAGCCCACAGATCTCCAATGACTATATGTAGTCAGTAGTTGTTGCTAAGGGGAGAGGAGCCCAGCTGAGCAGGGCAGAGGGCGGACAACCTTCCAGCTCTCCCTTTCTCCACTCACCTCCAAAGCAGCGAGATCAGGCAAGTGGTATTGCCTCATTTTGCTTTACATTATACAAATTGTTTACAGGATAAGTAAAAGAGGAGCTGATAGTAAAAATACAAAATACAAGAGTTAACAGTTATTTTCTCTTGATACTGGCTGTGTAAATTCCAAGTAAATTCCAAGTTCTTTGCTCTCTCTGTTCTTCTTTCTAACTTAGAAAATGCATTTACTTAAAGGTCCCATGACATTTCTGCATTTCGGAACTTCTACAGAGTTTTGTATTCCAGTTTACTTTTTGTGTATTTGCACAATTTAGAATGCCCACAAAGGGAATAAAATCATTTTTTATTTCTGGAAAATAACTGAGCACAAAGTTTTGACAGCATAAGCACACATTTTATTATTAATCTAAAGAAATGTTACTTACCAACTATGTAGAAATACGGTGTTAACACGTCTGATGAAAAATATATTCTTTTTTTCAGTAAGTAAAGTAATCCAGTCTTCACCTTTTTGAGGAGGTGAACATCCAGAGAACTGTGAGGTGTAAGAAAGGCCTTTACTTGATACTTTGGAAGGAGTTTGGGACCCTACGTAGTGACAGAAAATCAAATGAAACAAAAGAAAAAGGGAGATGACATTTTTGTAATTACCTCATATTAATGTAGCAAAATGTATTCTATGCATTTCAAAGCCATGTCTATTGAGAGACTTAAGTGTCTGAGGTATGATCTGCTGGAAACTTAAAAAAAAAATCCCAACAAAACAACCACCAGGACATCCTCAGCAAGCTTCCTTGCTATCACGCTGCACATATCGCTCATGAGAAATGCACAACTGTTCCCATTCCTCTGCAGTCAGGCCAACACCAAAGTGCCTGATCTCTTTTGTGCTCCAAGACTTCACAAGCCAAACATAAAAAAGGAATAGTTGTTGGAACAGTACTCGGAAACACACAAAAAGCACTTTAACTTAGAGCTAGTTAGTTCCATCACACATGCAAATATATTAAGTCAATCAAACAGGTAGAAACGCTTCATATTTTCATCAAAGGGAAAAAAAAAGCTGTTTTGTCTAATTCCAATGTTTTTATTGGGAAGACAGTCCTCAACTAATTATCAACAGGGCTCTAATGACCTTATCACCTCTCGTTAACATCCATTCTTGTTTTGTGTGTACCATACCTCATAAAATGGGCACTCCAGGTTGACAGTCAGAAAAAGCTGGGTTAGCTGGGAGGTAACAATTCTGTCCAAACCAGGTGGCTGAGCTGAAACAACAATATTCAGGATTTGAGATGGACCTTCAAGAAAATATCGTTACGCAAACCATCATGCAGAAGTTAGGAAAAGCTATTCAGTTTAACGCGCAGAGAAGCTACTTCATCATTATCATTCTTGATCGTTGTTTGAATAAGCAGAAAGATCAGCTGTGAAATGACGCAGTTAGAAGAACGAGGAAATGATTTACAGAAGTATCAACATTAAAAAAAAATATATACAACTAGTAAGATCTTAGTTAAGACTGTCATATTCTTTCACCAGAAGAAATGAGGATCTGAAAGATGCAGGACATTCTACAGGGAGGAGTAAGTTTGAGTTGAGGTCTTGGAGAAATAACCCATATCCTTCTCCCCACAACTCCTTCTCCCCAAGTTATAATCCCAGGATCTCATTGTTTCACTCAGTTGTTGTTTTTTCAATCTGAAAGTAGTGGCTAATACTGAATAATTTCTGGAGATTTGTCTACGAGTGTATACTTGAAGTGTCCTTCATATTAGGTGCGAAGTATTATTACAGAATGGTAAAAACCTGGTGTAGTGTAAGATGCTAATCATGCAGGTCATCTTCTCAAGGTCCTGTTTGGAACTTTGACCACGCTAGTGGAACACCCTCATTGATTTAAAAGAACATATTCAAAGTAACTCAGAAAACGAGAAACCTCATAGTACAAGTATCAGCTTGAGAACTTTAAAAGACATTCTGTTTTTTATCACGAGGAATGTCTGCTTCCTATAAAACAACCCTTTAAGGTATTCCATGTTGAATAGCTAAAAATTGAGTGACTAAAGTTTCTAATCACTTTGAAAACGTGGCCTTTATTATATAGACTTTTATCAACAGAGCAATCTTAGCTGAGATCTTGAGAAGCCACTCGTCTTCCTGGCATAGATTACACATCCCTGTAATGCCACTAAATATGCTTTACCATCTAACACAAAATTACTTAAAATCTATAGCTTACAACTGTGTTCCTAATAGCTTTGTGTCCAAACGCGTTGGATTACGCAGCAGCTAGAGCCAAGGACCAGCTATCACATGGGGGATGTTCTAGAAGCTTACTAGACTGGGGAAAGAAACCTATTAGAAGGAAGGCAGCCTGTGCAGGCAAGACAGTCTTAGAAGGAGAAGGTGAGCAGACTCTGAGATTTCCTAAGCAAGACAGGATAAACCATGGGGTAGATTTTTAAATTTTGTAATGTTTTCCTCAGTGTGGTAAGACATAGGGCCAAGGATGAGTGGGACTGTAGTGCTTGCTCAGAGGTAGGAAGGAAAGGAGCTCAGAGCACAGAACGAAGACGGGCCCAGGAACCCTCCACCAGAGGAGTGCAGTCGGCAGACAAGACGCCGATGGAAAGAAGCAACACATAACCGTATCAGATGAAAAGTCATTTAAAAACCAGGATGAGGCACCAATCGTTATGCCTTGTTAAAACACACGTAAGCCTTACAATTCAATTTACGTTTTTACCTAGACAATTAAAAAAAACCCCACACCAGTCTATCCTTAATGGCTCACATTTATGATGCTGTTACATTTTACTGGTTCAGATCGCATTTCTATTTTAATTAAGCCAACAATTATGCACTGCAAATTAATTTTTTTTTTCAGTTTTATCAATTTACCCTTTTCAGCACTCACAAGCTGACCCTAATACAATATGAAAGAGAAATACAACCAATTTGGAATCAAGAATATAACACAATAATTCTTATCCTGAAAGAACAGAAGACTAGAGATGACAGCAGAAGTCCAAACCTGGTTCTACCTTACCCCCACCTGAAAAGCTGGACACGACACAGACTGGCAGAAGCTAAGGAATAAAGCACTAGAATCACCCACATGCAATGCACCTTATTTTAATCACGGGGCAAAATAGTATTTGAAAAACACACTTTGTACTGCCCAGGATTTACAAATTCTGTGTGTATAACTGCAACACAATTTCACTGAAATAGCAATTTCAATTCTTTTTGTCCCAATGCTACACTTCACCTCACTTGTCTCTAGAATTTGTACTATCTTGACCAAAGTTTATACGGATTTTTAGACTATTTTTTTAAATACAATGAATTATTTCTGTAGTAACAGGTGAGCTTGCTAGTAACACAATTATAAGTAAGCCATAATTATAACTTTTCTTGCATGTTATAATTTGCTCCCCATTTTAAAGGTTACAAACAGGTTTTCTGCAACTGTGATCATGTACCTTGCCCTTAAAGTCTCAGGAAGAGAGTAGTTTTGATGCTTAGGAAAATATCCAGAAATAGGGATTATGCAAAGTCACAAAGGACTTAACCTTAAAAAAATAGGCAGCGAAATCTTAAATCTAACCAGCCGTGCACAAGCAGAAGGTAGATTATTTTAGCTTCACAACCACTACTACTAGTATTTCTACTGGTTTTTGAAATGCATCCTCCCTTGGGCTAGCCCCCGAGTAAAATGCCTAAGAGCCAGTCCCGACCCTAAGGGGTATGAGATCCAAGTAAGCGAAGCAAACAATTGTGGGGGAAGAAAACAAAAGATACAGAAACGTGAAGTGATTTGCCCATTGCTGCAAAGCAAATGGAGGGCTACACCCAGGATAAAAGTCAAGTCTCAGGACTCGCTATCCAGTGTTCCACCTTTATGGCACATCCCTCACGTGGCAGTCAGTACAGTGCAACAATTTAGAGAAAAATGAACCCAGAATCACTAAACTATATTTTACGTCAGTCGTGCATCTTTCCAAGTATCACTGCCATTAAAAAAATCCACCACTTTTGGGCTCAGTCTTGTTAGTTCCATAATAACTTGTCTCACTAGCCTTCCTAGTGTTCCCAGTCTCACAGCAAACAGTCTCACTTCAACATGAGCACTGCTATCAGTCACTAAATAGGCACAGAAGTTTAAACAGCCAGAGTTCAAAGGAACACATTTCCTGCACAGAATAACTTAGCGCCTAAAACCTGTATGAGACGAAGGACAAACATGGGGAAAAACAGAAGGTCAGTATCTTTCAGAAAAGCAGGAGGATTAACTGAAAATTTCTGAGGGAATTCAAATCTCTGTTGAAGATTGTACAGTGCAATTTCCAAACTCCTCTAAATGATATAAACTGAAAGACAACTGCAACTGTGACAAGGAAGCAACAGTCTTTGGCCTCCTCACCACTGTTCTCCAGTCATCTTAATCTGGTCATTGTTGATTTGACAGATGAGTGATAAGACATGGGCACTTCCCACGAGACACACCACATAACAGAGGGAAATACGGACATCGCAAGAGAAACACTGCTCCTTACCTTGAAGTTGTTGCAGAAAATAGGGACTAAATATTTTCGGCAGAAAATTTACTGGATAACGTTGAATAAGCACGCATGAGTGCAGCAGGTTCAGCAAGGTGTGAGGCTGGAAGTGACTAAGGCGAGCACGCAGTACAGTTTCAAGCTTCCTAAACAAGGAAGAAGCACTTGGAGGCAGGTAGTTAAGAGTCCCAAATGGTATAATATACCCAGCAATCTGGTCGGTGCTAAGTCTGTCAGCATTGGAAATGAAACTTTCTGCCACTGCATCGAAGATGGGCTTAGAAAGGATCATCTTTCTGCAGCAATACTGCATGACTTTGCTGACTGTTTGAGGGTGCATGGTAAAGATGGACTTGGGAACATGTGTTTCCAGTGCCTCTGTAAAGATTTGTTCGCGATGTCCGAAGTATAGAAAGGCTTCCAGTACATTTACCAGTTCATCATCTGTGAAATATGGAATATACTTCACAGAATGTTTACACAGTGCTGTGACCAAGGAAACTGCCTGAGCCTGATGAAGAACAACCAGTGAATTCAGTATTATGCTTGTGAACTTTGGGCTTAGCTGGGAAACTATGATTAAAGTGACACTGTTCAGCCTGTTTAGCAAGTCTTGGTATTGTTCCCTTTCCCTGACAGTCACCTGCAGCATCTTATAAACCATCACCACTTCCCTAGGACTCCACTTCTCAATGTCTTTTTCTTGCATGTGGTTCACAATTTGTTCCAGTGTTGCACAAGTTGGGCCTTCCAACTCAAGCAAACTCTCTCCAAGAGCACACAGATTTTTAACAGTCAACTGTCCTTTACCAAGCCGTTCTTTACCCTCTGAAAGCAAGCTTACCATCAGTGTACTCTGCGGATCTATGCGTAGTTTTACCAAAGCTTGCAAGGCATTCAGCAGCCCCGTGTCTGACAGTTTGGAGGATTCAAATTCAAACCGAAAGCATAATGCCCTGAAAACTTCATTCTCTAACACTCCTTCAGGGTTTTTCAGGCCATTGTCATCCACCTCCACTTCAGAAATCCTCTGCAGGGCTCCTGATGCCATCGTATCAGACATGACTTCCAGAGAGCTGAGAAAGTCAAAGATCTCTTTCGATGTACAAAGGCGGTTCAACTTCTTGAAAAACAGCTGTTCATCCATCCACACATGATTAGCTTTAGTACTGCTCCCAGTATCTCCACAAAGATGCACAGTTTCATTAACAGAAAGAGGCTGTAACCGCAGTTGTACGTGGTTTTTTCTACAAAACATATACTGAGATTTATCTTTGAAACATAGCATCCTCATGGCTACAGAGGTACAGTTTTGGGGCTTTCGCTGCCCACTGATAAAGCTCAACCTCTTGCTTAAAGTCATCAAAATGGACCTGCTTGCTGGTGCGCTGAATGAATAAAACTGGAAACTTTTTCTGCTAATCAAAGCCATATTGGATCAAGTGGATTCTCAAAAGACACCTAAAGGAAGAAAAACACATATAAATACACAGTCTGGAGAACACCAGTGTCATTAAAACGCAGCAAAAAGCCTATTAGCTGCCGGACGCGAGTGGGACGATCCCTATTCCACGACCACCACCAGCACAAGGCAATGCAGAGCGGAGACTCCCGGGAGCAGCGAGACCTGCGTGACAGGTTGCCAAGCACCTCTGCCC